GCCTGCGGATGGTCTATGTAAACAACCTGTCTCGTGGCCTGCCAGCGGATTACCCTGACAGGACGCGTGCGGCCCACCACTGCATTATAGTCTTTAAAAAATGGCACACTCTTTAAAAGTGATAAATTTGAGCTAGTCTTTGAAAAAATATCACTTCAGTGAGTAATGAATTACTAATTCAACAATTACTTTATGTGGGACTAGTAGTACATTGCTTGTGATTTAAAGTAAGTAATTACTTCAGTCAAAATTCATTACTGAGTTATGTAATTCTTTACAAGCCATATTTTAAAATTCAAATCATTTTGTTTTGTTCACTGTAATAAAGTAATTCTGGAATTGGTTATACATTTGTCACTCCTAAAAGTAGCTATTTTTATTACAAGTACTTTTAAAAATATATATTTTTGGCCAATTTTTTCAAAACTTATCAGTGATTATTTGGGTGTCCACTCTGAGCCTCTTGAAAGGGGAAGGGCAGGAGATAAACATCTGAAAGCTGCCCTTTGGGATACATCAAGTTGAGCAACTAAAAACTGAGGCACCCAAAATCACTAGTGACTTTTCAAAATCTTGTCCTTTTTTAGTATATTTGGTATGAGAGGGGAAGAGACACCCTTAAGGCCAGATGGCATCTGGCTCTAACAGGGCGATGCAGAGGAATAAGAGGGAGTAAGGGCTCATTTATACAGAGACTTAGTGCACAGCAAGCCAGGGTGTAAATCTACAGCAACCTAGTCTATCATGCTATAGCTGGCAATGTGGACCCTGCTGCCACACAGGAGAAGTTCCATCATGTTCTTTGACATATTTCTATTTCAAACAGCAGTAAGTCAGAACGCACTACAGAACTTTCAGTGCAGAGCAGCAAGGTCCACAATGGCTTGTTACAGCAGAGCAGGCTAGTGTAGATTTACACCCCAGTTTCCCATGTGCTAAGTCTCCATATAGACAAGCCCTAAGATTCCCCATCATAGAATTTCCCACATCTTGGTTTGGAGCCCTCAATTCCTCTATCCAGTGTAGTAACCAAATATATAAAGAAAAGTGTTGGTGAATTGCAGTGCTGCCTCTTCATGGCTCTTTCCCTTTGGTGCATTGCTTAATAGGGTTATAATAGAGGGACAAGCAACAGAGGGTCCTGTGGCACCTTTGAGACTAACAGAAGTATTGGGAGCATAAGCTTTCGTGGGTAAGAACCTCACTTCTTCAGATGCAAGTAATGGAAATCTCTAGAGGCATGTATAAATCAGTGTCGAGATAACAAGGTTAGTTCAATCAGGGAGGGTGAGGTGCTCTGCTAGCAGTTGAGGTGTGAACACCAAGGGAGGAGAAACTGCTTCTGA